CACTAAATATAGTGTCTGACAGGGAGTTATAACCACTGAAGTTTTACGGCGAATAAGATTATAGATAAGAATAAGATAGATAAATAAGATAGGTAAGATAAGATAGATAAGAATAAAATAGCACGATTACTTACGGTCAGGTAACAATGGGAAAATATGGACAAACCTGTCCGATGGCACGAACGCTGATCGTAAATAGGGATCCGACGACGGATGCGAAGCGCACACACAACATTGGAAGGCTTCACGTCACTGAAACCAGAAGACAAACGAAATTCGAAGACGCGACCTTATCGGTGCGTCGGATCCGCGAATATTTCCCAACGGTATTTATTGAGGGTTGGATTTCGGTACACCCAGTTGTTTGTTGATAAAGAAAAATTTGGGGCTATTGGACGCATGTGTATGTTTATTGTTATGTTATCTTCGTTGTTAATATGCTTAGCGGTTAGTTATGTAACAGTATACTGAACTGTTTACATGATCATACATGATCATGATTATATGATCACAAAATTATATTTTCCTGATGTGCATAGCAAATTTGCCGCTCGCCTGTTTGAACGTTGCTCGCGTTTTTTGAGTCAATATAGCATCCGCCTTCGAACGGTGCGACGCTCATCGGTTCCGCGGCCATCTTTGCTCTCCGCGCACGCGACCACACCTTCCCCTAGCTAGCTATCTTCCGGTGCCTTATTTTTGGCACTACATAGCGTTTCGCCCCACATAATAAATTTTTCCTAGCGTTACTTTTGGTGTTCTCCACTCATCGGAGGTTGGCCTTACATTCGCGTATTAGTTCTAAAGCGTATCGATCCTGCTTCTGGTTTTAGGATTTTGTCCAGTTTACAGAGGGCCAATGAAAATTATGCTAGCGTTGACCAATAGAAAATCACCACAATGCGTGAAAATCCGGTAGTTCCCGATCCCGTCATTGCATACCTTGGGTATCCGAATAAGGACAACACACTACTAAGCAATTAGCAGCTAACTAACATATGGACGGTTCGGAACTAACGTTCACCCGGTACCTGTTGCTGTAGTTGCTGGACGGGGGAACCCACCTAGGCGGCGCTTCAAGCAGTTGGCCTGGAAAAGAAATGGATCTTACCGCGCACCTGAGAACATCACAAGGCGACAGAGAATGAAAACCGTGGTATAAGAATGTTATATGTACATGAAGGAGTGTAGTACAAAGATCGTTAGTAGCAGAAAGCGGCATTGTCCATATGGTTAATCCGCTTCCGCGAGCGTCAAGGTAGGAGGCTAAAGTTGTGCATAAGGAAGCAGGGGACTCACCTCATTCGCACCGCATACTTTCCTTCGCTCAGCAGGCGGTCTCTTGTGCCGTGCGGAAAGCAAACAAGTTTTGATGTGGCGCGTAATGTCAGCATCGGAGGCTGCATCACCCATGCGTCGCCGAATGATGCCTTGATAGTGTTTATGGATTACTGTATGTCCACCTACCTTGTACAAGGGTTAGGGTATATTTGTTCGCCTGAATGCAAACAAACCTCTTGCTCCGGAGTAATTCATCTCCGCGGCAACTGATCTTATCATTAGCCGCTCCATGGTACCCCGGACGACGATTTGCACGTTAGCACCGTGCACAGCACACAAATGGTTGACCTGAAAGTTGTGGAATAATAAGACGAAGTTACGAATCTGCTTTTTGAAATGTTGGTCCTTCAGCCGTTCATCATATCTCTTAAGCTCACTAAGAAAGATGAATGGCAGAGAAAGTCCCGGTGCAAGGCTTTGGGACTGTCGTTGCAGCATCTGCAGAATTGCTTCGGACATGCGGCGATGGTCGACCAGTTCTGATCGCATGAGACATAACTCATCTAAAAATAAAGTTGAGTGCATGCAATGCATTTGTGACGTGTTACATGTAATGGCCTTCAGTTCCTGCAGTACCTTCAGACTGCATGGTGCAACGTCAGCAACAACAAGGGGTGCGATTACTGTTTAATAGGGGCCTATGAACGCGATACTTACGGTTGGTTGTTGATGGCCCGGACGTGGTGGACTAATGCCACTGAAGAGAGACGTGGGCGCAAGTGCGTATGTTGCTGCAGCAGGCCTTTTAGGTTTGGTGGGACGCGCGGCATCTTCGTCATCGGAGCTAGAACGGACGGGCCGGCGTCTAAAGGGAAATAAAAACACCATACTCACATTGGACTCTTAGCTGGAAGAGCAATCGGAATAGTATCGACTGTGAATGGCAGCATGCCGCGCTCTGATTGTCGCTCCATTTCTCGGGCATGCTGGAAGCTAAATAACGAGGTGAGTTAATATAACAAAAACTTACTCGTGCTAACGATGATGGACACTGCAGTGCTGGCCACATCGACATCGGGCGCAGTGTGGTTTTTCACCGCTGCATAGTAGTGTGTACCCCGCACGGAAGGTATTTGGGCGTACGCACCTTCTTCTCTTAGCTATGTATTACTGACAATAGTTACCAACTTCTCGGAGTCAAGGAGTTTGACAACGCCGTATCCTTGAAAAGCCAGCGTTGCTGAAAAAGTAAGACGTTAATACTTAGAGTGTATAAGTGTGCGGCATAGGATAAATTACAAGGCAATCGTTCAAGGGAAAAGCGGTACACTTGAATAGAATATGACAGACTGAGAAGCTACATGCCGCTGTTGACAATTGCGATGCACGGAAGATGTACGCCGTGGAGGAATCCATGCTATGCGTGAACAGACTACGGAGATTCACAAATTCCCGGCACTGCACGACCATGACCCCAGTTACATTCACAGACACATTAGTTAGCACTCTCGGTTTGCCATCGATGATGACCACGTTATCCGGCTTCACTGTGGTAAACAAATTGCCTTGCAAATGAAACGCTTTTTGACCCTTATGTGTGCACATCTCTACATTCCCACCAGTGCTTGCGCTGCTGAAAGTAGGAAGAAGCTGCTGCTCTTCCGACGTACGCCGCATGATTTGAGCAACCGGACGCGGGGAAGTGTGAATCATGCGCTTGATGGAAAACAAGTGAGACTCAAACGGAAATGCTGAGAAGCTGTCTAAAGTCCCTATCTTCTGTACGTCAGCGGGCAGATAAACCAGTGAGTGCGCGTTCCACGTCATCTCACTGGGACCATACAGAGCAAAGTAAGCATGTAAAGATACATGAATAAAAGGAATAAGGAATTGGAATAAGGCCGTGTGAAGGTGAGGGTGACACATGATATAAATAGGGAATGAGAGATCCAGAAAGTTAAGATGGAAGGCCTCAGGCAATATCCCGATTAAACACGCTGGTCCGGCGTGGAGCAAAACTGACGCAACTTAGTTGCCTTTCAAGCTCGGTATTCATCTAGTGATCGGAGCTTACGTGGAAAGTCCGATGTCCAGGAAGGTCCGAAGTCTTGCAACTGTTTGTTTGCTAAAATCAAGCACTCCCTGCGCAGTCGAAATCCGCTGTCCACGGGCGAAGTGAGCCAGTTTTTTATCAAGCTGCGTGTTACGCCCAAACATACCGAATGCATATAGTCAATTGGAAAGTCCTCAAGCAAATCTACATTCAAAGCAGCAAAGGGGACGGTTGGCTGACATTCCTTCGAACGGATATATTTGTCCTCATTGTGTACTCCGTAAGTGGGTATGTCACCTTCCTGCTGATATACTCACTACGTTGAGTGCATTTGCCACAGCTGTAATAACCCGAGTGTTCTTTCTTTCGTTTCACATAAGCGCGTGCAGGGGTATCACAGATAACGGCTTTCAAGTGGAATAATCCTTCACTTTGCAGAGAACGAACCTCACTAGTCGTGTCATACAAATATTCGTCCACGTCATTCGGTGTTGATGTCCCACCATAAACACCAACCATGAATGGCTTTGTGAATACTGGCTTTATGACACGACACAAGATAGGCCATATATGCAACTTGTATGCATTAAAAGGTTTAAACCCGTCAATATGCAACTGATAGTCAACAGTGTCATCAGCGGCCAGCGAAAGAGCAGAGCATACACGGTGTAAACCTCTCAGCAGACCTACGTGACCGTAAATGCCCGGTGCAACAACGCTTATGCGGGAGTTCCGTGGGGTGCGCATCAGCGTCCGGTATTCCCTATGCGAAACTGGCATCCACTGTTGCACATGCCCCAACAGTCGACGAACAAATGATGCCGGTACCTGAGATTTCGCAATTAATTTTCTCAAGTTATCGACCACTTCATCGGGGTCCCTGTCTTCTTCACAGCAGTTGATAACGTTAGTAGCTGGCTGAACTGTGTAAGCAATGATATTTAATATATGTAAAAGCTTCGCTTACCCTTCTGTCGTTTAGCTGCTGACAACAGAAGCACTCCTTCGTAGCTGAATCCTGATGCCATTGATTTGCTGCACGGTAAATGGTGCTACGAGACGGGAACTGTGCAGTTAATTGACAACTTTGTCAACGTGACATGCTGAAAATGAACATATATGTATGATACAATCTATAACTGGAAAACCTGATAGGTGCGCCTGCGGAAACGCAATTTCAAGGGAGCTACACAATAGCGCAAAACCAAGCGGTATCAGCGACCAAGGTTACGAAACCGAAACTGGCCAAATAAAACGACCTGCCGATGCATTTAAACCACTGGGGTTATGGTCAAATTATAGCAAATATAATGCTTACCAACCATTAATTTATTAACCACTGTCAAACTAAATGCATTTAGTTGCTATTAATGCATTAATATCTTAGGTTGACTTCTGACCAGCTTATGTCCAGTATGCTAGGTTTACTGTTACGTTTGTGCTACCAGGGTTGTGCATTCCGAACTATTGTCAGGGGTCCTGTAGGAGTCTGGAGGTTCCCCGGTTTGCCTGTGTAAAATTCTTACTAAAATTTTTTCATTGTACGCCCAGGCAACCGGTGTGGTTTGTTGAACTGGTTGCTGACTTCGAATGCTTGACTTGCTCACCGCTATTTTTGCTTGGCGCTCGTTTCGGTTGCAACTCGCAACTGCCCCTTGTGCTGTGCATGCTCCGTTCCTCTAGCTAGAGCGTCCTCGGTGTCGTTCTTTTATAGCTAGATAACAGGGAAGCTTTTACGGTACCAATAAATGTTTACCTGCAACTCGATCCGTCTTCTTGAATCGCTCTCTGGGCTCCCGGTACAGGCGACCCCCTACAGTCCTTACGTGGACCTTACAGTGACCAATGACTATCTGAAACGTTTTCAGATTGAAACGGCGACATCGTTCATTCGTCGGAGCGTTAAAACTGCGATAGCTTTCTAAAGGGAAACTGGACAGGTGTAGCAGGAAGGAGGCCAGTAACGATATATGCAGTTTTTGTGCTTGCATAGCGTACGATCGAATGTTGCGGGACTGCAGTGAATGTCGTTTATCCGCCTGACGGAAATATTGTAACAAATAGCAGTGTTACAATCATCCTGCTCGGCTCTCAGCGGCTTTTATAGGGGAATGCTACGAGATTGGATACGCCTACCTTCGCGATTCGCCCAGTTTTCATGTGGTGAAGCCTTGGCTGTATACCAAATATCGGTGGCTAACAGTGGATCAGGAAAGCATGGTGCTTAATCTTGTGAAGTCGTTTCGTCGGACGCAGGAGATGCATGTATTTGTGCGTCTTTAATATAACTTTCGTTTAACAAGGTAAGATTTGTATGACATCCGGCGGCATCATCGTAACGCTTGCTCACGGAAGTAGCGGAGGTTACACAGCAATATCGTAAAAATGGTTAAGTGGAATGTATGCATGAGGGAAATGAGATTCGATACCTCTTTTAGTCCCCTCGCGCTAGCTCGGAGAGGAGAGCCAATACGGGAATTTAATTTGGGCGTATTTTACATATCGGATCAATTACTGCGGTTACATTCTATGGCATTGCATGTTTATGGACGTCAGCATCCTTGGTATTAGCTTCTTTTATGCGCTTTTGCCCAATGAGACGGAGGGTAGTTACCAAGCGGCAGTGAGAAGTATGCCGGAGTTTGTCCGCTGGGTTGACCTTGCTTGAACGTTGGTCATGGACAAGTGCGCGGCGCAGGTGAATGCCTTTCGTAATGCATACCCCACTGCCAACAAAGTTTTCTGCCGACTACACATTATGCGTGCGGTGCAGCGGCGTTGTGTTCACCTTCCGTTCCATAACTTGGAGGATATAAGGGAGCGGTTCAATACGTTGCGTATTTTGTTGTATAGACACGACTGCGCGCACTGTCGTCGTCTCATTGAGGGTATATCGGTGATCAGCGGTGAAGGCTTCCAGTACCTGCGGCGCACGTGGATCCTATGTCCGCTTAGCTAAGTGTTGCAGTTGATGGGCCACGTGCTGTTAGTTGTTATTGGGGAATACTTCCCCCGCGAGAAGTTTAAATCGCCGCGGTAGACCTAGGTTTTGCGACCGTTTAACTGTGTAAACATGGTTTACCATCGCCTTTAGGGTAAATAAGAAACTTTTGGGTGGTTTGATGCCATAAATAACAATCTTTCCCCTAGAAACCCTACGTATCCGAAGATGCAAGGTAACACGGGGTTTTTTTAAATTATACCTATCCAGAGGAGCCTGCTGGGCGGAACCTGGGATACTAGTCGGTAAGCAATGACACGTAAGACGTG